GCACACATCTATATGCACACACAGAGCAACATGTGTACACCTGTGCACACGTATGCACCATACACCCATGCACATGCATGCACACACACACGCACACGCCTATGCACACACAGAGCAACACATGTACACCTGTGCACACGTATGCACCCATGCATCCATGCACACATACATGCCTATGCACACACACACACGTCTAACACACGTACATGTGCTCAGCCAGGACCTGGGGACTCCAGGCTGAGTCCTGGGAACCCAGGGACCAGGCCCAGCTCGCCACCCTGCCCTGCCTCCCCACAGTGCACCTAGGGTTTCTCTGAGGTCGGCTGTCCCTTCAGTGAGATGCAGTCACCAGTCAGCCAGGTGGGGCTGTTGTGGGAACTTAGCTCAGTGAGTACTGGAATACTCAGTACTCCTGGGCTGTGGTGGGTCTTGGTGGGGTGGGGGCAGGGAGGCACCTGCTGGACAGGGGTCCTGGGTGGGCGCCGATGGGGGTGGGGCCCCAGTGCAGGGACAGGTGAGGCGTGAGGTGGCAAGGAAGACAGCTTTCGCCCACGGCCCTGCTGTGCCAGGGGCTGGCGGTGCTCCTGTCTGACAGCCCTGCCACAGCCCCCGCACCAATTACAAGCACTTAGTCACAACTTCCTGCCTGTGCTCGCCTCGGCAGCGGGAGAAAGAACAGCCTAGACGCCGAGCTGCTGCTCTTCCCACTCCCTCCAGCTGCCCCCCCCCACCCCAGTCAGAGCCCCCGTCCCACTCTGCGAGTGGGTGGGCAGGGATTGGTCCTGAGTCCTCAGCCTGTGAGGCCCGTGCAGCCGGTGTCCAGCAGGACAGGGTAGGGGAGTTCAGCATAAAAGGATGCAGCTGTGACTGGCAGTCCCTGAGAATGAGGAGACGTCGACTCTGCTTGTGAAATTGACACCTATCTGTCAAGCCGGGCTCTGCATCCCTCATTCAGTCCTTACAGGATCCCTGGGAAAGAAGATGCGTCTGTTACTCCTGCTCTACGCCTCAGCACCCCCAAACTGAGTGGCTTCAAACAGCAACCACGGGTTAGCCCGGGCCACGACCTGGGCCAGGAATCCGCACGAGGACTTGCTGTGTGGCTCGGGCTTTGGCTCAGGCCTCTCATGAGGGTGCAGGAAGGGCTGCAGCCCCCAGAAGGCAGGAGCTGCTCGAGGTGGTGCACGCACATGGTGGCCCCTGGCACTGGCTGCCAGCCGGGAGCTCAGCTGGGGTGGGGGGTGCTTGGACTTGCCGGCAGCACAGTGAGGTTCCCGGGAGCCGTGTCTCCTGAGCATGGGAGCAGCGCCCAGCATGCTTACCGCAGAGCGTCAGAATCCACGTTGGGGCCGGGCCCAGGGGCTCACGCCTGTAATCCCAGCACTTTGGCAGGCCGAGGAGAGTGGATTGCTTGAGGTCAGGACCCGCCTGGCCAATACAGTGAAACCCCGTCTCTACTAAAAATACAAAAGTTAGCCAGGTGTGGTGGGCGCCTATAATCCCAACTGCTTGGGAGGCTGAGGCAGGAGAATCGCTTGAACCTGGGAGGCGGAGGTTTCAGTGAGCCGAAATCTCACCACTGCACTCCAGCCCGGG